TTTTGTTTGTTTGTTCTATATCAAAAATGAATAACAATTGAGAAAAATTATTATTTAAAAATTATCATTCCATTTTATATTTTAAAATCTAAGGCTTAAAATTAAATACCAGGTTTCTCATAACCTAAAATATTTAATTATCAAAAATGCATACGCAACATTTTTTTAATACATTCTGACATTCATACTTCAAATTTCTACACAACTAAATATTGAAACAGAGAATTAAGATTTTAGTGGTTTTGTTATAAATAAAAAAACATTATTCGTAAGGACTCCGCTTTTGGCCACTACCTACTATGTATGAATAGATACAATTAAATATTGAAAATATTTAGATTAATTTAAACACTTTTTTAGATTATGAGTGGGGCGATGAATGTATTGAACTTACAATGTTGTGTTCTTTTCTGCAGTCTGTCATCTCACCTTAAGACTTTAGGGGTATAAAATACTTCCATTTTAATGGAAGTTTGGTGGTTGTATCTAGTTGGTGCCTGCGCCTTGGGGTAAAATTTAAAATATTCACATACTTTTCAAAATAACCGGGAAAAAAATAAATGAAAAAAAGGATGACAACTGGGTACAGCTCTGCTGTACAGAAGTTGTAATGGATGTGTTATATATTTTGAATACAATGATAAACCATTGTATACGAAAAACGATTCTGAGTGGTTAGCGTTGTCCTTATAATATTATTATTTTTTATTCATCGCTATGGTGATAGGCAAAGTGTCAAAAATTAAAATCCCATTTTTAGCTATTTTTCTTAATTTGTCGGTAGTTTTTCTTGACACTTCCTAAAACTACTTGGAATTTTCATATTTGACCTCCGAAAAGTATTAACTAGGCTCACTTTTTTACCAAAAAAGATGCTGATCTCAAAAATCGAAGCATGCTTAATATCCAAAATGTTACTGACAGAAAAAAAAAACCCACATCATTGTAAAACAAATACATTATTTCGCTCCGCTCAGAATCTAATAAAACAAAGTTAAGGGGAAAAGGGAACTTTTACACCAAACCAATATTTGACAATACTTTTCTTGTTCAAAATAAAAACGGATCGGTAACTTTAGATACTTACTTGACATTTTCACCTCATATGTTTGTATTTTCTGTGTGACAAAATTGTTGAACTATTTATTAACATATCAAATTTTCAGTTTTTTTTAAAGACACTTCGTATTTCATAATTAGATACTATTAAAGCTATTTAAAAATACAGTAGAACCCGTTTAAGACGCTCTCCAAGGGACCAGTTAAAAATAGCGTCTTAAGCAGGAAATCGTATTACGCGGGAACAAAAATTTTTTTTACATATTTTTTACAAAAAACATTTGTACATTAAACTGCTAATGTTATTTATTTGCGTGAGTTATACATTATAGGCTATATTTATACATATACTTATTCAAAATCACTATCTCTGTTCATATTTTTATTTTTTTGCTACAGATGTCAATTTATTAAATGATTTAACGATCACAGCCGCAAATGATGACAATCGTCTTAGCTCATTACATAAAGTGCATACTCTGGAGAATCGTGTTGTCTAGCCTACATTAGTGATACTATATACGAGTATTTTTATATTAATAAACTGACAGGCGAGCGTCTACCGGCATAGAGGTATTATCCAAGTTAACTATGTTAACTTGTCAAATCAAGGTACTTATTAGCAGAATCGTCTTAGGAAGCGACTAACGGGTTCTCGTATTCAAATACATGGCAAATGCAAAATCACAACAATCAAATAATTTGTAGTCATTGGATCTTTATCATATAACGATATCAGCAATTAAATTAACAACCTGTTACATTGGCTTACTCAATAACGAGAGAAGCTCAACACCTATATAGTGTACAGCAGAGCGGTTAAATTACTATACTTGCCCACATTTTTAAAATAATTTCTGAACACTATCGCTATAATAAATTAATTATAATTAAGTAGATACATAAATATGCAATAATTAATATTCCTAGTATATTGGAATTATATTGACATATTTTATTATACTATATTTTCTTGTTCTTAGACGCTAATTAGAAGTAATTATAATTTACATTATTATTATTTGTGAGGACGCATTGCCATATTAAGGGGCTTAATATAGGCAATTTTAATGACTTATAATATTATATTATAATGTATAGGGAACGGATTTATACGCACAAAAAAATACTCTCAAAAATTTTTTTTAAAAATACTAAAATATGCGCTTAAAGTTTGAAAAGATTTTATTTTATTGGATTGGTTATTAAAGTAATAATATTATAGATAAATCAATAAATATATTAAAAAAAATGTTTAATACAATAATTAATTGTTAGCAGTTAATTCCGTCATCTTCAGCAATTAACTTTTTAATCTTCTCCAGTAAAATTCATAGTCCACACGCTCTTCCTAACATTAATTGATGACAGATCGTTATTTTACGCTTGAATGATACATATCCAATTTCATCAAGATTTTAACTGCAGACGCTCATAAAATATTTTTGTAGATTTACGTTAAATTTTGATTGGATTAAAATAATAACAACTTATAAGGAATCTCGCGTTACATTATTAAGCTTTTTGAATTTGACTGGTGAAATTTTTCTATCCTCAATTATTGAAAAATTACTAAAAATAATCGATAATTATTTCAAATGTCTGTAAATAGCTCCGAAATATTTTGTAGTGCCCACTAGATTGACTTGTCAATTTCCTAACAGAAATATCTACTTTACTGTTTTACAAGGCGATGACAGACACAAATAAAACACACCATTGTAAAATTAAATCCCTGAACTCAGAATCAAAATATTGACAGTTATATGCAAATCCAAATGGCATATATCCGATATATGTACCTATTGAGTTCCATAGCCTTGAAACGAGTTTCTATGGTACCTACCTACAACAATATTAATGCGATATAGGTATAAAGATTGCAGATATGCAAATGCTTCAACTAAACGAGCCCTGCTAATTAGTGTATACGCAAAACAGCACACTCGTACAGAGGTTTAATTTAAAACTAGTTAGATACTCAAAATAAATTATATCCAAAAAAGTAATGGAAATGAGTTAAGATACGTCAACAACAATTAAATAGGCCATTAGACAATACTTATTTTTATCAAGGGAGATAATTAAAACGTATAGTACACTATATTATATTTATAGAAGTATACTGTGTACCTAATGTTTATTAATTAAAATAAGTTTTAAATGCATAATAATTTTATTCTAATAGTTATAAATTAATAAATGTCTTATTCGATAAACTTACTTTCACAACACTTTATGAAAAAAAATAACAATTCAAAATACTAGGTATCGAACACTACCATTCCAAAATAGAACAATACAAATATACAATATTATAACATAGGTACTTCATATTATCATACAAGATCTTGAAATTTGATTATTCAATACCTAGGTTATTACCATAGACTAGTTTAACTAGCTTATAGGTTATATGGTTTATAGGTTAGGTTTATATGGTCATAGGCGCAACTAGACCTATAAAACGTGGGGTGCTATAATATTTCATATTTTAAAAACATACAATTAATGGTATTTCAATATAATAATGATAGTTAGACCTAAAAAAACAAGGGGTGCTAAAGACCCTTTTGCATCCCCCTAGTTGAGCCAATGTCTATTATTACTTATTATAGTTTATAAAAGTAACAATTCACAGAACTTTTCTTAATAATTGAGAATAACATAAAGAAAATCAATATTGTTATTTTGTTCAGTTGTAATTCAAAAATAAAAAAACTGTAGATACAAGTTATTCTCAGAAAATGTTTATACTAGCATTACATCAGAATCCGCTTATAACAATCATCAAAATAATAACCTAGACAATCCGGTCGTTGTACACGTCATCGACCATCGTAATAAGCTGATTCTACAAAATTTATGAGTGATAGAATTTTCAAAATTATTTCAAGACTATTTACAAGTAATTATATACATTTTAAGCTATTTGTTTTGGTTTTTTTTTTATATCGAAAAAAATGTATGCTTGAACAAAGTTAGAAAATTTAATATAAAATTGATGCTCTCAATTAAAATTTAAAAAAAGTTTAGTGTAATGGTACATTTTAACGACATTGATTACTCAAACTATAATTCCTCATCAAGCAATTAAAATTTTCTTTTTTGTAATTCAATCATGGACAGAAGTACATAACAATATTCTATAAATCTTCGGCTCCATATTGTCCCTCCTTCCCGACACAAACACAACCAGAGAGGGCCTAGAATAGCTGTGACTAGGCTAAACTGTTGACAATGTTAGTAAAAAAAACATGATGCACGTCATGACATTTTGGCTTTGTTTCTCATAGATCAAATAGTTAATTTGAAGTTTAAATTAAGTTTCAATTTAATAATAAAAACTGATTACAGAGGCCACACTATGTTACAAAGCCATATATCATATTATACACTATATGATCTAGATACAAAGCATTCATATAATATGATAGTTGATTATAGTTCATACACATAATAAATTAAATTGCATGTAATCGACAAAAATATGAAAAAAAAGTTTGTACAGAGCGACTTATCCACTTAGTTCTTACTTGATAAGGACTAGATTTGGGCAAAGAACATGATATTATAAACTATGATTTTGGGAAACTTAGTAGAGTTTAAGGCGGTTAAAGTCTGGGAGGGCCTTTATATGCACCAATCCAATAAATTACTATTTACAATGTAAGAAATATAGTTAGTCAGTTAGATAAAACTAAAAACAACACACTGCAAATGACTATTATTAATAATTATAATTATTTTAATAACTGAAAATATATTTCGGGATGTACTTATATATCAAGGAAAATAATGCAATTTAAAAAAAAAGAATTAAATAAAACCTGATAAAAAAAACTACTTGAAAGCTTCATAGTTTATTTTCTATTACATCAGACTAAAATAATATACAAAATTAGAGTTTAAATTTATACTTTGGATCATTGAAGAAAATCTTAAAAAAATTTTCTTAGATCATTTAAAAATTTGATATATACTTTTTGTTCATACTGTGTACTCAAATCTGAAATATTTTCAACAAATGTGTTGGATATGCCTTTCTCTGTTAGGAATGTCTTCAATAAATCATAGAGATCCTACAAAATAACAATAAAAATATTAAAATAAGAATGTATATAGGTAATATATATCAAATAACATTTATCAATCAACACTCATCATTTGAAAAGTATTGAAAGTGTTGTTTGATAAAAGAATCACCCTGTATATTATAGAAATGTTAAACATTTCGAAGGCATTGTGATAAGCTACATTTTCGATAAGCTGTGTAGGCAAACATGTACATCGTCCACACTGTATGCTTAATTAAGCTAGGGTGGTTATTTTTCAGTTTATACTTGGCTTTACTGATTTAGGAACTCATAACCTGGTTATATTACCAGGTTTCACAATTAAAGGAGCACACAACACAAAAAAAATGGTCTGTTACATTATTGTAGTTATGTTATATATAATAGCTGTATTCAATAATTTGGTGATAATTTGAAGTAAAAAAAAGGATTATTTTAAGAAATTAAGAAATGTAGAATAGCCGCATGACGTCATTGGGCCCGGCTCATTGTAATTGCCTATCCTATACGTGTAAAAGTAGGCACTTCACACAACGAATTACCAATCTAAAAATTTTATTTTTGAAATTAAGTTTACATGTAAATGTGTGATTTTATGTGTTTAAGACGATAAAAGTATCAGAAATTCAATATAACGTTTATTTTTTTTAAATATTAATAAATCTTTAAAGTTATACTTTTGTCAAAAGGCGCATCATAGCCATTTAAATATAAAATAAGAATTCAAATTTATATTCAAATATTTAAAAAAAACTAAACGTTATTGATATTCTGATACATGTTTAGTCTTTAACACAGTTTTTTTTGTTTTGTGCTCCTTTAACATAATTATATCACAAAATTTAACTTGAATTATAACTACAATTTTAATGTTTTTTTTAATTTTTGGTTGATAATTTAAGTTAAATGATAATTTGTTTGTCAATTAGCAAAGTAATCACATGAGTATGCATGACATAAAATTTAAATAATATTATATGTGTTGCCTAAACAGTATACACCCACACAACAAAATATTATTGAACTTACAGCATCCAATGTATCTCCAGCTAAGGCATATTTATTGTCGGAGTATTTGTTTTCATAAATAGTTACTTCATCAATGTGAAATACTTCATCTGTAAAATTGTAAGATTTAAAAATGTGAAAAATAAAACATAAAAATATATCTACCAGTACCATTTGATTCATCTAGTTCTGTGTTTTCAAAGTTGTTGGCATATGAACAGTTGAAGCCAAGAATAACATCACCTCGAGTTATATCTATTTCAAAATCTGGCTTAGATCTTAATGCAACTTTATCTACTCCTTCAGTTTCTTCTTCTGTTACCGAGTGATTGATGTTAAATTTAATGGCAATTCTATAATCAAACATGTTTTTTGTTTAGAAATTTAAAATGTATTAATTTAAATTAAAAGTGATATTAATCAAATGAAATATTTTTATTTTTATTATTTTACTGGTATATTTTAATTAATTTAGAAAATTCACTAATGTCAATTCAGATTTTTGGTTTCATTCAATAATACAACTTGAATTTAAAGTAATATTGTTTAAATACCAACTATAGTAAATTTAAAGTATTAGTCTCTAGTAACAAATTAAGTCATTTATTTTAGAACATAAAATTGTATAAACTATCAGGTAGTTGTATCCGTGGCACAACTACAATTTTTTCTAATTGGAAGCCTATATTTATGTTTGATGTGCGTTATGTAATGAAAATATGGTCTTTAAAGTTGAATTATAATAACGAGTAACAATCAGTAGCACAACTAGAAATTTGTCAAAGGTAACACAATACAAACTATCACAAAATTGTTATTTATTTATTTTTTAATCCATATATTTTAGATTAAATTAATATACTTAATAATAGGCCCAAGGAGGGGTCCGGACACGAGGACACTCCCATAGTGGCGCACCACTAAATTCATCCTTCATAATGATATGTAAACATATAATCCATAAATATAATTCACCTAATAAAGTTATTAATTTTATAGGTTAGGTGCCTAATAAGTGACCAAAAACAGAGTAAATTGTAAGTTCTATATGAGTTTACAGTCTTTAATTTATGGTTGAAAATAGGCAGCCACATATAATTTTATTAGCGTTTATTTCAAAGAATAATGCTATTATACGTGTGATCAGTGTCGGCCTGGGATCTAAAAGGCCCCAGGAGGCATATTATTCAAAGGGCCTCTCAAAAATACCAAATCTCAAAAAAATAATTTTAAAACGTTTTATTGATATTTATCACATAATATGGATCGATATAAATATATATAATATCGATCAAACATCATGTGAACAGTCCGTATTTCAACATAATCATAGATGCCAAAATAATCATATAATTGTATTATTACCACGGACTAAGATATTATGATTTAATTTATTTCTTGAAAAATACGGGTCGGGGCCTCGGAGGCGATTATCTCCTAGCCACCTGAGCCAGGCCGACACTGCATGTGATAGAAATATTTAAATGTCTACATATTTATAAAAAATCACAAGTAATAAACAGAAGAATATGGGTTTTACGTTTCATCGGAAGTTTCCTTTGTCAATTCTACTTCAGCGCCATCAGCAGATACTTTGAATCCTTCAAATGTTTTAGGTAAATGTGATTTGTCGGATGTCTGTTCTTCGCTTTTTATTTCATTGTCCAAGAACTGTTGCAATTCTTTTTCAACTAAAACAATGTAATTTATGTTTGTACATAATAGTTTAGAATTTCATTTTAAGATAAAAATTTTAGTTTTCAACAATTAAAACCAACCTGATGAGTGTGCAAGGCGAGCGTTTAAAGGTCGTATTTGGTCTAATTTCCCTGTTGATGACCACATTGATCGGTAGATAGGTACCATTGATATATTTCTGGTACTGTTATTAACCATCACATTGGAAATTCTCACGGTAGATCTTAACGATCTGATAAAAGTATTCATGATTAATATTAAATTAAATACACAATGACAATGAATAACGTTATTAAATATAAAAATGTGTTGAGTATCGAATTTATAAGTTTTAAATGCAGTAATTACTAATTTAAATTAAATATTATAATGATTATGTCATGTGCTTCGGCAATCGGGAATGAATATGAAGCAGGCAAGAGTATTATCATTTATTATTTATCAATTATCATACAAATTATACAAATCACAACCACAGAACAAAACGCCATGAAAAAATATAAAATATAGAGGTATTTCAACAAATAACAATAACAATGGGTATTTGAATTTTGTTTGCGCATCCCCACTTTTTCCTGTGTTGGTTCTCCGATCTTCATGCTTTGATATAATATGCGACCATGAGAGGCGGAGAACGTGGGGCATATGCGTATCACAAAGTGGCTGACATACCTATAATATTATTTGCCATGGCCACCATGTCAACCTCTTACCGGGTATACTAGTTTTAACAACATAACCTCAAATCATTTATCCATGAAAATCACGAAATCACGAACTCGATTCTCGAAGTCTCGAACCACAGGATAATATTATTCTGTGCTCGAACCACGGACTTTTAAGTTTTAACATATAAGTGTCACAAACTAATAATTTATAATATTATCATGACAAAAATTTGAAATTGAAACTTTATTAAAAACTTTATATCAACTATTTGACCTATGAGATACAAAGCCAAAATTAAGTGTGCATCATATTTTTTGCTAACATTGTGAACAGTGTAGTCTGGCCACATCTAGTCTAGGCCCTCTCTCTGGTCGTGTTTGTGTCGGGGACCACACAGGGTCCAAGATGTATAACATAATATTGTCTTGACCATGTTTGAATTACAAAAAAAAAAATTTTTTTATTATTTGATGAGTAATTATAGTTTGAGTACCTATTCAAATATTCGAAAAATGTGCCATTGTACTAAACGTTTTTTTAATTTTCATTGAGAACAATAACCTTAGATAAAATGTTCAAACTTTTTGACCAAGCGGCAAGCATACATTTTTTTAAATAAAAACCAAACCAAATAGTATAAAGTGTGTATACATTTTATCATTTAGAAATAAGTACCTACAGTAGAATCCACTTATTACGATGATGTAGCCGTTAGGTATACAACGATATCAGATATAAGTATATAACGAAGATTAGATATAAGTTATAACTATATGACGATTTGATTCTCTAGCCCATTTGATGATCGTTATAAGTGGATTCGTAATATGCTAATATAAACATTTTGTGGAAATACCTTGACTCTACGGTTAATTGTTTTTGAATTACAACTGAACAAAATAACAATATTATTTTCCTATAATATGTCCTTTCCAATTATTAAGAAAAGTACTGTCAATTGTTACCTATTTTTACTGCTACGATTATAAATTAGAATAACTAATAACTACTAATAACTAATAAGTAATAATCTAGCCATCTAGGCATTGAATAATCAAACTTCAAGATTTCTTATGATATACGAAAAATGTTATTAGGTATATTGCATCGTTCTAGATAGGTATTTTGAAATGGGAGTGTTCGATTCATATTTTGGTTTGTTATTTTTTTTTCATAAAGTGTTGTGAAAATAAGTGTGCCCAAGCCCGGATTAAGACATTTTGAAGCCCATCCCCCAGAGGCCAAAGTTTTAAATGAGGCCCCTGTACGAAAAAAAAATAATGTATATTATATTATTTAATATTTGATACCTATTTTAATAAATATATATATATGTACCTAGGTACATAACAATAAATAATGAATAATGTATCACTTTATTTATAGATTACTATAGCTGATCCCTTGCACTTCGTTACCCGTTAAATGTACCAATACTCTATATGACTCAAACTTTGTTCAATTCGCTATTTAATATTCAGTGTACGGTGTTCAAAATGGACAAAATGTTTCTTAACTTTTCCGGTGCCCGGAATAAGAATGCTTTTCGTTTTTTGTAATTCACAAGTTTTAAAAATTTTGCAACAAATACATTTTAGATACACTTTTATTAATATCTTGATAACCTTGAAGTTTCATTAAGAAATTGTTTTAAAAGTAAGTTTATTTTCAACTTTATATAGTTCATGTATTAAGTAGAATTAAGAAAAGCATGTTTTTTAAAAAAAAAAATTTTATTTATTTTATTTTCTACTTTTTAGTGATAAATTAGAAACAAAGGATTTTTTGAAAGCATAATTTTTTTTATGTTTTTTTTAGTCTCTTTATTTCTCATGTTTAAACTTTAAAGAATTAATATAATTATAATAGTCAACAGACAACAACTCACCGTAGAAATTCTTGAAGAGCTTCCTTCTTGCTTCATGAACTAGTATAAAATGATTAAATATTGAAACACCTATCTATAATAATATTGTTCTGTGTCAGGCTCCACCTATTTTAGCCCCCACTACATCAACCGTTCGAGGTCCGTGCTCGTAGTGAAGCCACGCCCATGCGCACAACTTGGCCGCCGTAGCCTGATCTTATTTTAAATAGACTATAGAATAATATAGAAGCGACACTCCCCCCCACTTCACTTTTTTTTTGACCAAGTATAACTTAGCGGGTATTTCACTTAGAGACCCCGGACCTGGGGGATCTCAGTTTTTAAGGCTCCAGATGAATTTCCACCATTAGGGAACCAAAGCCCCCCCAACATTTTGGGTTAGCCCCGAATTGACAACGGAGTCATGTATTGTCACCGACCCTAGACCTCCATACAAAATTTGAGCCTCCTAGGCAGGGGCGTGCTCACGGGGGGGGGGGGGGAAGAGGGTGTCATATCCCCCCCATGAACTTTTTTTTATGCATTTACTTAAGTTTCTTGATTGATTCGCTTTTTTCGAAAAAAAAAGGTAATGCATAATTGGTTTTAATTTGTTAGTTATGTAATAATTATAAAAGATATAAAATATATATACCACGAACTAAGTTATCTTATCTAGTTATATCTAGTATATCTTAGTTCGTGGTTGGTACTATACTACTATAGTATAGGATTTGAGACTATTTTTTAAAAAAATCAGTTTTTAAATACAAGTGAAATTGAATCCTTTAAAAATCTGGCAGATTTTTATTCACCACACATAAATAAAGACAACAGTTTAGCTGAACTAAAAATCTGGCGAAAAAAACTATTGGAAAATTCTGAGGTCATTAAAACTGGCCTAGATGCTCTCAAAATTTGCAGTTCCTCTATTTATACAAATTTGAATAAGCTATTAAAAATTGTATGTGTCCTACCCGTTTCAACATCCACCCCAGAAAGAACATTTTCAACATTAAAGAGGGTGAAAACATACAAAAGAAACTCAATGCTTGAAGTAAAATACTCTTCAACTTATTAGTTTAACCGAAATTGAATATATACTTACATTTTATTTTAGGACCGTTTGAATGGATTAACGCCAGATGAAGTCTTAGATGAAATGGCTAAGAAACCAAGAAAACTTGAATTTCTTAATTTAGGTCTTTAGACCCATAATTTTAACATGTCCGCATATATAAAACATTAATACATTTTGAATTTTATGTTTAGTTTGAATATGAATATAGTTTTAAAGTTTTCAGTGATAATTTTAGAATAACAAGTAGGTAGGTATGTATATAATATAATATATATATCAACCTACTTCTAAAATACCAACGTATATACCTATAAGAACATTTCGTGTCTATGATAATCAACAAAACAAAATACGGTTCATCCCCCCCCATTGAAAAAAGCTGAGCACGCCCCTGCTCCTAGGTCATGTAGAAGTGATTTAAATTGAACTCGCAAGATTGAACAGAAATGAATGAATGAATGAATGAATATTGAATGAAACATTGTGAGTTAAAGAAAAGCATGTAAAAAAAAACATATGGATATTATTATATTCTTTTAGGAAATAAAAAGAATTGGCTACAATTTACAAACCTAATATGCGTTGTTTTCGTTGTCCAGGAGAAATTCTATAAGTATGTTTATACGTTGTTCCGATTGCGAATTTTTGTCCTCAGTATTGTTTTAATTTCGTAAGAATTGTTTTCTGGTACAAAAAAAGTTTTTTTAGTGACAATTTACAACAATATTATAAATAACAACTCAATTTGTGTATACATTTGTTTTGTAAAAATCAATTTTAAAATCTAGCTACAACTTCGGATATCAAGAATGTGCCATCATCCGAGGTAATTTCTCACAATTTACCAATATAGTATATCATCGTTAAAACCAATTAATTAGACTTTCATATAAGAACGATGAATGTATTGGTTTTACAATAATTTTTGGTTTTTTTAAATCTATTTTTTAGTTTTTATATCAAAAAAATGAAAAATTGTAGACATGTATTTTTCGAAAAAAAACTTTACAATTTTAAAAATATTTTGTATCTTATTTGTGAATATTTATAAATATTTGATGTTGTTTACTTATTTTAATAACATTTTATTTGTGATTAAAAAGCTTGAAAATTGAATATAAGATCTTAATAATTGTTCAAAGTCTTTAATCTGTTCATATAACAGATAAACAATATCGAAAATACATATTGTTACTACAGTAGTACCTAACTATTTTTTTCAATCTATTTAACTTCAAATATTTAAGTACTTATAGTTAAATAAGATTATATAGAAAGAAAAAATAACGATTTTAGTAAGTCAGTATAAGGTACTTAATACAAAAAATATTATTCGTCGGAACTTTTATAGCTTTTTGTCATTGTCTATACGTGACTACGTATACTACAATATTATTATTTGTTACACAAAAAGTCTAACAGTATAATTGTTTACGAATTCTACTCATAATGTGTAATCGTAAGGTTGCATAATTTGTATTATAATATCAAGGTAGGTAGTATATTTTTTTTCATACACCTCCCCATCACTCTTTGTTGTGCCACTTTGAACTCTTAAAGTTAATTCAAAACATTTAATTTATTATAATATATATTATAAAGTATAAACACATAATAGTATGTGCTTTACCT